ATCAGACTGCACTACCTTTCTCTCAAAGGATGACCCAATGGGTCACAGGGTTGTCTAGTAACACCATAAAATTACACACTAAGCCAAAAAGGTTTTATTTGTCTCAAACATCAGATCTTGGAAAACAATGTGTAAAATCAAACAAAGGCAATTGTGGAGTCCTCGGGGTTCTCTGAGCTTGGTTGTTTTCTTGTAGACATTTCGTTACCCGGCTAGGTAACATCTTCAGTGCTGAAGATGTTACCTAACCAGGCAACAAAGCATCTGCAAGAAAACAGCCAAGCTCAGAGAACCCTGAGGACTCCAGTTCAACCCTGAGCTACACATATTCTCTTCTATTGGCAACAGGCAATTGTTGTATAAAAGTTTATACATGAGGTATTACTACTGTGCCTAGTTTCTATAAAACAGACCTTTTAGACATGCATTAAAAATACCCAAATCATATAAATGTGTGTGTGTGTATAGGCACTTAAGCACACACACACATTTTTAAATTAGACGCCAGCTGTCCCCAGTTTGATACCCTCCTCATATTTTGGACTACTGATTGGAATTGATTGGGAGAAGAAATAGGGAGCTGATTTCTATTGGGAAAAACAGAATTTTTCCATTCTAGTTCTGCGTATCTTCTTATACTGACAAGCAAATATTGCTCCCACTGGAAGACTTCACCCTTCATGTTGCCCACAAGAAGATCCAGTTGTAATCTCACCCTATGAAGCAGTTCTACCTTATGGACGTTGATGAAGTTCTTTGCCCAAGGCAGCAGGTTGGTTACAAGGGAGTTGAAAGAGCTCCTCAGCAAGCGAAATGCAAGGGACCCATGCATCCATGGGATTTCTGGCTCCAGGGAAAATCCAAGCACAGTTTCTGGGAAGAGATGCCAGTATGCACATTGTGAGTGGGTAGGAGTTGGTCAACATGGCCATACATCATCCAAGGACATCAACTGATGTAATCTTAACCCAAAGATCAGCCAAGACACAGGCCTTTTCTTTTCCTGGCTTTTAACCACCTTGTCTGATGAAAAATTCTAGGAATTTGAAGGGCTTGCAATTATTATAAAATGAACATATTGGCCCAATGAAGGCACTGCCTCTCTAGATATTGGATTACTTACAAAAGAGAGGAAATCCCCTTCCTCTTAACCATTCTTATTGCTCTCCACAGGCCCTGTCTGCCCTTGCAATTAAGTACAGCACCCTCAGGCCCTGACAGGGCAAATTTCCATCCTAGGCCCCATGGGACTGCCCTTATCTTACTCCCAGCCCCTGAAAGACATAGGCCTAAAAGGGCATTTTCCCACTTATTCCATTTTCTCCATTGGCTGGTGATCTGCAGCAACAAAACCAGAGGAGAAACCCAATCAACTTGCCTATAGGAATTGGCACACACACCAATCAGAGTAACACCATTCTGCAGTGCAGGGTTGTCCAAGAGACTGTGTCAAAAAAGCAAAGATGGCGGTGATTGATGTTTTGGACACTCCCTCCCTCCAAACAGTGCTGCTTCAGTGATTTGGAACAGATGCATCAGATGCAGGATAGGGAATTACAGATTTAATGCTAACATTATTTTGTGCCAACTCAGTATAGGTAGTTACCACTCTAGCTTAGCAGTCTGGAAAGGCTCCCAGTCTCCTTGCTTCTAGCTCCCACCCTGTTAGGTCACCTCCAGCCCATGTCCCTCCATTTCTTCATCTTCATTCTTACGGAGTCACTGCCAACTTTTTGCCAGTTTCCTCCCTGCCATCATCAACCCTCCTTACTGGACAACAGCAATGGCATTCAGCCATTGCATCCTTATTTTCCAGATACCCAACAAAGTAGGGTTTTCAGTCAAAAGAGTAAGCTCTACATCCCTCTATTCCTTAGTTCCAAAGAAGGTTTCTGTACCCCAGAATTATGAGACCTAATAATATTCAGGGTGAATAAAGATGATGGTATATATGTTGAATGTATGAACAATATGTATGTATAAATAAGGGAAAAATCTCTAATATCAGCATATTACTTCAAAGAAAGACAGAGGGAGGGAGGTGTCTGTAGGGCACTTCTAGGCAGCACAATGCCTTTGAATAATCTGGAATACTAAACCAATGGATCTCTGTCTTCTGCTGAACACACAACACACACACACACATAAAAATTTGGGGGGGAGGGCGGGTGAGTATAAATAGACATTGCATTACACAAACAGCCTCAGTCTCCAGTGATTTCCTTCTAAGATCAGGAAATAACCAGAGTTGAGGGCATTTAGTATCTCTTAACCATGTATCAATTCTCCTTCCACCTACTTATCTCATACTGAATAAACCAGAGCATGTCAGAAGCCAAAGAAAACAGAAAACAAAATGAACTCTATCAATCTATGTACACACAGAGAGGTACACAGATAGGCATGCATGGAGGGGGAGGAGGAAGAGAAGGGAAAAACTAAGATACTCCAAATCCACATAAACTACTCTTGGGAGCTCTCCTGCTGACAAGAAGATAAGCTGTCATTGCCTGGGTGCAACTCTTCAGAACAGAACATGACTTATCAAATTTGACACAACTAATGGAAAGAGTGCAAAGTGTAAGTACATAGAGAGGGAAGAATGATCTGTGGGACCATGGAGGGGCACATTCTTCCCTGAAGCCTATATTCAGGGGGAGCCATATTTTACAAAAGCATGTTTTCAGGCCCCAGAGTTTTTTTCTGACACCACAGGACTTTTAAACTCCTGGAGATCAACACATCCTGTATTTGCCCTGAGAACTGTAGTCCTAGGTGGTTCTAGACAGCTGCCCTTGGGTTGACTGAAAGAGTGTTTCAACTGTCCCAGCTTCCAAGGAAAGGAAAAACAAGATGATTCATCATAGCCTACTGAGACAAATATAGCTACTCAATCCACAAAGCTGTCTCATTAAGAAATATTTACCTTGCCGCATGATACTTCCGGCCTTTCTGGAGACGTGTATCATCCAAGATCTAAGACAGGGCCACAGATCCCTGAGCTGCAAAAGCTAGAGAGGCAGATCCAAAGTTTGAGCTACATAGGATGGCCTAGAGAAGTCATTACTTCCCGGATTAACCTATGTTCTTTTCCGATTCTACAGAGGAAAGGATCAAATACAAAGTTCAACACATTCTCACAAGCATATAAAAAATATAGATCTTGCTTCCCCTTCCAACTGATGCCACTTCAACTCCTGGTATCCTCCTGCAACAGCTCTGTGATGTTTCAGATTTTGACCCATCAACTTTTGCCCTATCAGCCATGTATATGTGGGGGTATTTACAACATAAACTTTCACTAGGTGGATAATATTATCAACTGGGCTTTAATTAATGCAAGTAAGAGAAAATCACTACACAACCCAAATATTAATGATTAGCTACATGCCAAAGCACTCTTGGTAAAATTTAAGCTGGAATCAGTGGCATTTGCTCCCAAACAATTTGACCAAAAACTCCATTAAAACCCCTCTTAAAGCTGTAATCATAAACACAGTTACTGAGGAATATGGGGGGAACCCATATAAGTCTCTTGCAGCAAAACGCACCCAGTGTCTTGAGGCACTCAAAAGACTTGTTACTTTTATTACTGTGTCAATTTGGTGAATAAGAGTATAAGAGAATATGTGTAGCTCAGGGTTGAACTGTGGAGTCCTTGGGGTTCTCTGAACTTGGTTGTTTTCT